CCCCCCGCAATTACCCCCCCGACCTGCCCCCACGGGATCCCCACCTTGGCCATCCCGTTCGGAACTGGTTGGCATCTTGGAGCTGGGACAGGGGGGCCCCTCTGGGGGCCGCCAGCTCATCCCGGATCTAAGGGAAGAATTTGCATCCAGGAGGGAATAACGACGGGGGACACTATCACAGGCACTCGGATTAACGCCCCCAACACGCTCTGAGGGATGCAGGTAAGATTTCCAGGTGCTTTGGAGCATGATCCAGTTGGTGTGTGGGGGGGTTCTCTCCCTATTCTGGGAAGGGGCAGCTCTGCCTGCTGCTGATTTTCCTGTTTTCCCAGGAAAAACTCCGCGGGGGCAAGAGGGAGCAGAAGGGGGGTCCCAGGAGTCCTGTCCTGGGACTGGTGCAGCATGAGATGGACGGAGCTTTCCCCACCCTCACCCACTCCAGCTGCAGAGCTTATTTGCTTCTCCCTCCTTTTTAAAAATCGTGTTACAAGAAAATGTTCTGTAGCACAGCTTGCTTTTAAAAAAAAAAAGTAAATTGGCATTTTAATTCCTTGTTTCATGTTGTCCAGCAGCTTGTGGAGTTGGGGGAAGGGCCCATCCCTGGCCTGCAGCTCTGGGATGGCTCCAGGCAGGGAGCAGGATCATGTCACCTTCTTTTCCCCAGGGAAAAGCAGGATATTTACCCACTGAGTCCTTCCAGGTGAGGATGTGCTGGGGCCCCTGGGAGAGAGCAAAGGGACGTGGGGTGGAAAGGCAAGGAGCTGTGCATGTCCCACCATTGTCTCCTTCCCTAGAGCCAGCCCCAGGGACCTCACGCTGTGCCTGGGCTTGGGAAGAGCCCTCTTCCCAGCTCGGAGCAGCTGGATCCTGGCTTTGGCCACACACCAAAGTCTTACGAAGACCATACGAAGGACCTGGGGGTGTTCAGCCTGGAGAAAAGGAGGCTGAGGGGAGACCTGCAAGTGTCTGAAGGAAGGCTGGAGCGTGGAAGGGTCGGTTTCTTCTCCCAGGGAACAAGAGGAAACAACCTCAAGTTGCCCAGGGGAGGTTTGGAGTGGATATTAGAAGAAACTTCTTCCCTGAAGGGGCCTTTAAACATTGGCACAGGCTGGGCTGGGTGGGGAGGTGGTTGAGTCACCATCCCTGGCGGAGTTTCAAAGCCCTGTAGGTGGTGCTGAGGGACGTGGGACTTCGGGTTAATGGTAGAATTGGGTGCGGGAAAACTCTGGAAAAAGTGAGGGAAAAGTGGTAGAGCGAATAGGGCAGTGTAGGAATGAGCAGAGGCCTGAGTGACCCTCAAAATAAATAAATAAATAAATAAATATTTCTTAAAAAACTTTTGCATGCATGCCAGGAGCAAGCCTGGCACTCCGTCTGCTTGGAAGTGACATATTCCACATTTTAAATATGAGGTTACAGCATACAAAACCTTATCCTCTTTAATCAATAGTTCAGCTCTGATTGGTGGTAATTCAAAATAAGCTCTTTCTGAGAGAAGTTTTCATAGGCAGCATGAAATTATTCTGTCTAGTGCCCAGGGACCTGAAACAGACATCACAAATGGTACTTATTAGCTGAGTCATCTGAGCCATGGGGTCTTAACTACCCTCCTGGATTACTGAAAGAGCTTCCCCACTAGAAGCAGAAGAAATATTATTCTTACCCTAAAGATTATTGTTAGAGCCAGTTTCACAATTCCTAAATTCAAATCTACAAAATGGAGTCTCCTGAGGTGAATTGCTATTAAGGAAATACTACAGAGTCTCTGCTGGAAAAGCAAGACTTAGTTTGCCATTCCTTAGAATCCATTGTAATGAATTACTTTCACCCTAGATTGACACACTGCCCAAGAAAGATTATAAAACACGTGGCTGTCACTATTAGTACTGAACTGCTGGATCTCCAAGACTTTCTGGGAAGCTTTAGCCTATCCATTACAAGTAATGTATTCAGCAATTCCTATTTCATAACCTCAGCCTTCTCTAAAGAAACAAATTAAATTACAGTTCAAATGCAAGCCAAACAAGTAACTTGAAGTCTGAACTAATCAAGATCATGTGTCTATCACCAAAGCTGTTAGGCTTTGTCCTTTTGCCCTTACATTGTCCTTCTGCCTCATTAAGTTTTTTCTGTCTTAAGAAGCATATGACTGTGCGTAATTCTAAGAATAGCAGAACAAAAGGAAAATAACATCCACAGATATACTCATGCATTCCCAGTTGTAATTTATTCTGGCCTTCTTTATTCCTCTCTGGATATTTTTCCAGGAACTTGAAGATGAGTGGTTACTACTCATGGAAACACTAAGCTTCTGTTCTTAGCAGAAATACTCACAGACTGTATTTGGAAAGCAGTAGTGCCTAAGGAAAACAATATGTTAATAATTTAAAACACATTAAACATACATCCAGGTAGGGAAGAGGCCCAGACTAGTGTTTGTTGGGCAACTAAACTACAGAGTGGATCACCACAGGATTTATCAAACAAACAATCCACCCTTATCAATTCACAGGTGCAATAAACAAATTGCTTCTTACAAATTCAGTGGATGCTTATTAGCAGGATCACTTACTGAGAATTAAATCAGTGGGTGGGGCTGGGTGCAGAAAGGAAAGAAAAAAAAATAATCCACAGCATAAGCAGAGCTGCCTACGTATAAAATGTAGGCCATTTTCACAACCAATTGCTCAGTTGGTAAACAAGTGGTGAGCAGTTAATACAAACTCACTTAGCCACAAA